AATGCACAGCATGGAAGAAAATGACGGATCTTCAGGGCCAAGGAAGGCGAAAGACATGGGGAAAAGGAAGAAGAAACCACCGGGAGATCGTTGTATGGTAATGAACTGTGCATGGGTGCACTTAATACCAGACAGTTACTGTTCACTCCGTGCCTGGGCCGATTTCAACACCAAAACAAAAATTACATGGTGAAAATATCGACTAATAGCACATCGTCGGCATGTAATATCGTCACTGATTTCACGAACCGGCACGCGAAGCCTCACAGCGCGAAAACAAGTTTCCGAGATAATCGTGTTTAAAGACAGCGGCCAGTTTAAAATGCTCAGTTGAATACCGTACTTTCATTTAATCAACATGGAATTACATGTGTGATAAGAGTTGAATTTTTTCTTTCATATGCACTCAATATTACAGCAAGAAACGAAATACTTTTGGTATCATTGGGTATCATTCATGGTCAAATACGTATGCCGGTTCGTAAAATTACTCGAATGCGCATTTTGCATAGAGCGCGTAGTTAAGAAAAATTTTACGAACCGGCACGCGTTGATCCTGTGCCGGTTCGTAAAATTTTTCTTAACTACGCGCTCTATGCAAAATGCGCGCACTGATGAGTTTTACGAACCGGCATACGAGTTTGATGGTGCATTAAAATGACATTCTCAATACGAATTGTCACAAGGTCAATTAAATCTTTTCCCTATACCGCATCACATGCGTTTAGCATATCTTTGATATCTCACTTGAACCTGTATTTATATTTGTTTACATCTTTTTTTTCTCTTCATTTTTTCATTTGTTTCCAATATTCTACCCCTTTTCTCTCTCTCTATTTCGCATTAAGTATCCCGTATTTTCCTCTTTAAAAACAATTATATTTGAGTGGTTCTCTTCTGAATCTTTCATGTTGGCCTACCAGTCATAATTTTTATAAACGATTAACGTTTGTACCATATACTATATGATTCATAGATGATTTACATTACCATACGTATCAGGACAATTTCTCCCTGGACAATCACCCCCTGAAAATTACCTCTCCGGGAAACCCCCCCCCCCCCCCCCCATGGACAATCAACCCCTATTATTAGGTCAATTACCCCCAGTTCATTAAAGGGGAAGTCTACCCTGATCATAAGTTGGTTTTTAATAAAAGCAGATTTGTTTTCTCTCGGGGGTTAATCGTCCTGTGGAGGGGGGTATTGTCCAAGGGGGGTAATTTTCAGGGAGGGGGTGGTGTATGTGCTTGGGGATAGTTTTCTGCGAGAGACGGTCCTTTGATGTTATACCTTCATGGTTTATCAAGCAATTTCCCCAACTCTTATCACAAAATGTCCACATCTCGGGCAGATACTCAATACTGCAATCCCTCTCTCTTCACACATCCTCTCTCTTCATTCCAATCTCTCTCTATCTCATATAACCTTTTACATATTCCTATCTCAGTCATATCCCTCTTTACCTCAAGGAAAGTAGAATTTAAATTCAGAGAGGTACATTGTATCTAATTTACATATTATCATATTATTTTCAAGGTACCATAATGTGGGGCACGGTGTAGTTATATATTTTACTGTTACAGTAAAGAGAAAATTCGCTCTTTGAAATTCATGGTTTAAATTTATAATATACATATTTAATCATCATTTTGAGCAAAGAAATGATTAATTGTTTGTACAACAATTAAATGTAACCATTAGAAAATGCTGCACAGTTGTTACAAAACACGATTGTAGCAAAACTACAAGAGGCATGCTAACAATCTACAAATCGGCGTAAAATTAAGCTCAATATATTTGCACAATACAATAATATGTTCATCCTATTACATGTATTTCAATTTTTATTACAATTTATACTAAATGCATACGTGTGCACATCTGGGGTTGTCAAAAATTTCCATGGATTTGCATTAATATAAAGACATTTTATTTACTCAATTATAACATTTGATGGAATTATGAAGCCAAAATGAAGTTCATGGACAAGTTGAAAACATTGGCAAATTTCAACAAGTTTCTTAATTAGTACAAATACGCCACAGAAAAGATGATTCTTGAAGACTTAGAAATGATGCATACAAATAGTACACATTACCCATATTCTTTAAATGTTGCAATGAATATGAATATTGTAATTTTGAGATGCAGCTAATATCTACTTACTCCATATGACAGCTCATATATTTTTCATGCATAATTGACTACATTTCTTGCAGTATATGCCCAAGGAATCTGCAGCATAATACTATTTTTAGAACAGGAAATACCTTTTTCAGATAACACAAGCAAAGCGTACTTTCAAATGAAATCTACTCTCAATTTAATTTATCTATAACTAAGCTAGATTACTCATTACTAAAGAATCAGCATCAACAATGAACTGGATCAGAGAAGGTGATCATCCAGTGCCCTTCCTGATCAGTTTAGAAAGACATATCAGATATATTTTAGAAATTCTTCAGATGATATGCCAAACACTGAAAGCTCAAATGGGAATAGAATATACATTCAGAGTATTTCAGATATAATTAAACCAACTTGTTAATATTAATTACATGAGTTTATTGCTCCCCAATGAAATATTGGTGTAGATCAGTCACTTGAAAGACAATTGATGATTATAAGTTTGCAAGGCCACTATATACATATTATGTCAACAACGCATTCTTCAACAATACATTTGAATCCCTTTAAAATTTGTCAATGAAAGCCATTTCGCAAATGAACACTTCAGCCCCCATCAGAAAAGATCCACCAACAGGAGAAGAGTTACTGTATGAAACTGAAAGCATTAACCAATGTAAATCTAACAAAATGTATGTCCAACTAATAAAGGTAGTGGCCTTCATTCTAAAGCCTTCCAGATTCTATGTAATTTCCTCAGTAAATGATAAGTCAAATCTTAGAATACACAATCTTCCTTCCTATGATTTTTTCCTTTAGCTCTTCAATTGGCCCCCACCCAGGAGACCTCTTTAAATTATCATGTATTATACAATGTTGTAGCATGATTACTTGTTATTGTATTAAGTTGTTGAATTTAAATGACAATAAACCTATTACAGTTCAAGATCCTGGTGGAGGCTTGCAAATGAAGGCTACAAAATAAACACGAAGAAGGTAATGTAATTTCCTGATAAAGTCATACTATATGTTAGGATGTTGTAGCATGAGTACTAGTTAAGTTGTTTTGGAATAACCAAGTGTAAATAACAATTTTATTTTGAACATATCTTTTACTTGTAAACCTTGGACAAATTAAAAGAATTATGTAATATATATATAGATGTATATAATTTGAATGGTTATGATTCAAATTACATGAATACAAATTCCAATTTAACAGGTGAAATATCTGCTGTGTTATTACTGACCAACAGCAGCTAACAGGAAGTTTTCTGTGTCAGATTCCACTTTGTGTACTTCATCCTCAAAGTCTGTATCCAACTCCATGGGTTCTGTTTCATTCTGCCTTTGGGATGTCCTCACCAGGTCCGAGAACTTTAACACAGAGAGCAACAAAGTTTGGGAGCAGTTTAGAAAAGAATATCACATATATTCCTCATCAGTCTTGGTTTATTTATTTGGATGGTTCATTGAATTTAATAAATCTTGCTTTGGTCTAAATTACTGAATATGAGGTTGTAGCAGCCACAAACGGATATTTTTTACAAAAATATATTCTAATGAAATCAACAAAGTGTGTTGAAGTTGTTCTAACACATACATCATGATTCAACAAACTTAGAAAGTGCAGTCAAAGTTAATGCATAAATTGCAAATCCTAAGCTAATTTCTCTAAGCTGCACTGTACACTAACCAAAGGTAATAAAAATAGACATCCCCTGCAAAAAAAAAACTTAATAGAAGGACACTTTTTAAATATCACTCAATAGTTGCATTCAGGAGGTGTAAACATAATAATAATAATAATAATAAATTTATATAGCGCAGCTTTTATACAAAATATATTCAGCTGCGCTGGTTAAACATGTAACTTACCTAAAAACCAGTGACCTGTTGTCCATGGGTTTGGGATCCCTTGGCTCTCAATTTGTTGAGCAATTATTTGTGGACCATTGTTCTAATAGCAGTCAGTGTGTGGGCTGTCAGCAAACTGGGCTTTCCTTTTGTAGAACTGGGGCCATTTGAATCACTGGAAATAAAACAATCGATATCATTCATTTATTTCATTTCATTGGGAGCATAAAAATACAACAGAGGAATTTTGAAATGAGACAAGAAAATATCATGGAATACTATATACAGATAAATGCATGTATGCTGGAGTAGGTACATGTGTATAGCAGCCAAAAACAAAACAAAACAACAACTTCATATCAGGCTTACCCAGAATCTAAATACATGTATAATAAATTGTGAATAAAAACTGAAAGGTAGTTATACAAGAATTAATAATTTGATAATCGATATTCACTTTGCAAGCAGTTTCAACGTGAATGTCAAGTATTGTCAATAGAGAATTTAAAGAAGATACATCTGGTAATTCTTTAAACTTATTTTTACCTAATTACTTGCTAAGTTCTTATTACAATATTCTAATCACTTGTGAATGTTGTTCGATCACAATTCATAGTTTCAGAATAAAATCCAGACACAGTCAAACCTGCTTTAGTGACCACCTGTCTACAAAGACCACCTGTCTACAAGGACCACATTTTTTGTTTCCTTTGAAAATGGTTTCTCATTGAAACATGTACTAAAGGAACCTGTCTACAAAGACCACCTGTCTACGAAGACCACTTTTTGTGTTTCCCTTGGGCGGTCGCTGTAGACAGGTTTGACTGTATTCACAAACATGTACATATAAATATATGCTTAAAATATACTAGTTGGTGTAATGAATATTACCCAAAACTATAACTTTTCTTTAACTGGAATGAAAATTGCATGATTCATATTTCAAAAACTTACCATTCTTTAGGACAATGATATCTGTCATAAAATTATTCTGGAAGGTGGTAATTTCATTTATTTTCAAGTATGTATGTCAAACTTCAAAACCAATTAAAATACTCAGTATTATACACGTATCTAGTTACATTAACATAGGCTAAATGTATATCTTTGTTAGCTACAAAAAAAAATAGAATGAGGAATAACTAACCACCAATCTGTGAGCATTCAGTTGGCTGGTCTTCAATCAAAAGGGGTCAATGTATGGGACATTACATCCTTGCTGGACCTCTGATAGGCATTTCAACTCTGTTAGGAGCATTTTTAGGCTGTCAGTCCGTGGGCAGTCAAACTTAGTATCATCGGTCATTGGGCGTGAACGTATCTGAATCACTGCAAAGCAATACATATAATATTTGCATTTGATTATTCAGAATGAAACAGAAATAATGATAAATTAATGGACTGCATTGGAAGCATTCTACACCATAAACATATTCTAATGTTTGCTTAAATATCACTATACCCAGAAACAAATAAACTAAAGTTACTATGGAGATAATAATTATTTTTTATCTGGCTGGTACTGCCCCCCTCCTCCTCCTCACTTTGGGGTCAAAGGGGCCGCAATTGTGTTCCCAAAATCTCCGGTAAAGAACAATAGTGAATTGCATTAATTCAACCCAGTGTAATGATTGTAGCCTCTCAACATAATCCCAATTTTTAAAAAGCATATCAACAAATCTATTTTACACACTACTAGTACCCAACTGCAAACTACGAGATGTACTCAGTTTTGATAACAGCCTTTATAGAAAGTAATTTGGATGATGTGCATTAACAAGAAGAAAGTATCTGAATAGAAAAATGTATTACTAACCAAGCTCAGCTAATGGGATGTCTCCCATATCCATGGTGTGTACAAGTCCAGGTTCCGACACTGCCAACATTTTCCCCGCCACCACCTGCTGCCCTATTTCATTTTCACCGAAGTGCCTCTCCTTGGTACCGAATTCTTTCTCCTTTTGATATCAGTCAAGTTAGTAGATTTGTCCCTGTTCTACGGGACAAGGCTATCCTGGATAAACTCCATCTAATGATTGAATAAAGGTATTTATAATAGCAATAGTTTATAAAGAAAATAAAACCTGATATTTGATAATCGTATCTCTAACAATGGCAAACCTACCAAGTGCTAGACCTGACCTGGTGAAGGCATGTGGTTCTACATGTACAATAATTTTAGTGCACTAAAGTTTAGACCCAGTCAGACTGTTGAATTATATTGTTTCAAGTCATTTCTTTCACTCTGCTCTAATTAATCGTGATCACTATGAGAGACAACACACCACAATATCCTCGTTTAGTCGCTGAAAGTGAAACAGCTTTCGATGAGTACGAGTATAGACGTAGACTTTATTACCGAAGATCTGCACTTTGACAAAATATGGTCATACCTAAAACCACTTATACTTATAAGGATGCAAAGAAAAGACTTACATATATGACCAAATTATGCAGGTCTAAAGTGAATTTGAAACTAAAGTAAAGGTAAATGTGATGGTGATCTTTGGTAGATGTTGATGCAGTGTACTCACTACTCACTAGACTAGTCATTATGTAGTGCCAGTGGTATATTTCTACAGCAACAGATACAGAACCCATCTCTGAAATCATGCCAGGTTTGCCACATCACATTAATTTAAGTTCTAAACATATACTGTAGCCCACAGATTAGTAGCAAATAAATTGGGTCTGTTGTTACTACGATAACCCCAGAATCTAATTTAATGGGTCCCGTTCATTGAGCGAAACATTTTTAAATTGTTTGCATGCACGTGCTTTGTACACTAACATAACACGCTACATGTGGGACTGGGTTTACGAAAGAGGTAATTATCATAGGGTAATCACCAATTTAGGAGAGGTTTATTTACAATTTTATAGATAACTCAATCACGACGTGCATACATTTTCATTGAATCGAGAACAAATAAACCTCAACTCACCAGTTCCACGCAGACTCGAAGTTTAAGCATCAGATTTCGGTGAATCCTATTCTGCTAGCAGACTAGTTAGCTAGGCGTGCCGGTTCGTAAAATCAACAATTTCCTTTTCGCGCGTTAACTCGAGCTTTACGAACTGGCATACAAAGCGCTCACATTTTATAAAATCGAATAACTTTTTAATTAAAGCGTTTTATGACCTAAAATTTTGCAGAAAGGTTGATCATGGTAATATCATTCAGAATATGTAAAAATATTAAAATCGAAAATTGACACGAAAAACGCTTCGTATGCCGGTTCGTAAAATCAGCGACGGTATATGTCATAATTTTTAAAAGGGGAATTGATATTGATACTATGAAATATTAGGGGAAGGTAAAGAATTGTACATAGAGTTAGGATTTATTAGGATTTTCAGCCTTTGAAACAAAATAAGCAGAAAATCGTATCTCTCTGCACATGCTTTCTATGGAACATCCGGGTACGTGAATATACTCTTTCCCGGACGTGATGTCATATATAGCAGACCAGCGCCGTGACTGATTGCTATGCAAAGAGAGGCGGATATTTTTGACATTTTAATTAAGGATTTCGAGTAGCCAGAATTTTTTTGTGATATACTATGTAATTGAAAAAATTATAAATAACATATGCTTGCCGTAGGTACCAAATTAAGGGACATTTATTTGCTTAGAATATCAGCTTTAAAGGGGGACCATTCGACGACCGTGCGGCTACTGCTTCACCCCTGGAGTATATACAACGCAAGGCCACCAGACACCCGACGTATGGTCGCCGTGGAACCGATGTACGGCATGGCTACGGCGTATCTAATCGCTTTGGCGAACCTAGAATTAGAAATGAAAACTGTTATAACTCCGCGTTATAATCCCACAGCGACCCGTACGGCCTGTAAAAATAGGGATACGCCCTAGGGTGACCCTTAGGCCACCGGCCGCCGCAAGTATATCTCGATTTCGGGTGCGTACGGCCGCCTTATCCTACCCGTAGAGCTGTGACCTAGGCATTAGGAGCCTTCGAGAGAATCTCTGATATACGAAACTAATGAGATAACGGGACAGCTCTCAGCATAATCCTGGGAGGACGTGGATCATTTTAACAAAGACAAACAGACTTTCAAACACGACTGCTGACTTTTGGGGAATTGCTTTTGATAACCACCTTTTTAAACTGTAAAAGAAGGCCCAAATTCATCTAGCGGTGATTCTTTACCCGTTTTCTGTGTCAAGAAACGACACTCCGACGAAAATGTAGGAACCCTCGGGAGCCTCTATGATGTAAGAAACCAAGGAGTTGTGAGAGTAGTTCTCTGGATAATTGTGCGAGGATTTCAGGAACGTCTGGTCATCTTGTGACTGGAAATCCAGTGGAGATATATCGATGGTCTCCTCTGTTTCCGAATGGAAAACGATGTTAACATAATTATGTGTATATTTTTTTAATTTCGTGTAGTGGAAAGTGCACTGAAACCTCAGGCATTTCCAATTGAAATTGTAAAGGTGTCTTGGTATAGCGCTTCCTTCAATTGAAAATCAATTGGAGGTTCGAATCCAAGCTCAGCACTAACGTCCTTTAACACACAATTGCCACTCTCCACCAACGTGTAAATGAGTATCTGGCAATTGCTGGGGGCGGGGGGGGGGGGGGTAACAGTTATTGAAGGGCCCTCAAGATCAACAGCATTGATGCTGGCGAGGCTTCCCTGTGTAAACAAAATCATCATATTAATGATATTGAATATTATTCTTTTAAAACAAAGTGTAAGATTCGAACAACAATATACATATTTTTATATAAGTGAGCGTGTAAGTGACAGAAAGCAAAACACTTCCTACATTGGAGTAGCGTGGGCACTAGCATTATGTGGGCGGTCCTACCACGGGAATGAAAAACGAATTTAACATAGCTACCGACTTTTCCTTTCCACCCCTCCCCCTCTCTCTCTCTCTCTCTCTCTCTGTCTCCCTCCCTCTCTCTCATCTCCCTCTCTCCCCTCTCCTTCCCTCTCTCGCGCTCTTGCTTTGTTTGTCTCTCTCTCTCTCTCTCTCTCTTTCTATTCACCTTTGAAGTGATTCGGGGGGGGGGGGGCACGTGTCCCTCGTGTCTCTCTAGCTACACCACTGACGTGTATTTAAATTTAAATCTTGTATAACACTGATTTTGTACCTGTTATTTCTGTTTCACACATTTTACTACATTGTAGGTAATGGAGTAACGCATACTCGTATACAGATTGAAAGTCATTATGATACCCGAAGCAGAAAAGAAGAGCAAATATTTTATGAAAACTGCCGATCAATTTCAATGTACATTTATACACATAAGCGTGTCATTTTAAGGTATCTGATCATTCCAATAATAATGATATGCCGTTCTTGTATAGTGCATATCACATTTATGATATAACGTCTCTACATGCATGCGCTGCCAAAAGGACTTTGGGTGTAATTACTCCGTTTTTAGATTCCGTGTCCAATACGTACGTTACACAGTGAACATTAAAGTGGACAAAATCACAAACATGTCAACTAATGTATCACTAGAAACTGGTAAGCTAACAGATGGCCACCATACGAGTTTTAGGTCAACTACATATCGGGTGATTCATAAAAATACAAATAAAACCAACTCCATGGCCTCTGGGATATACGAGAGATTCGCCAGTAAAATAACGATGTTTTAATAATGACGTCACATAATGCACCAATACTGACCAAGCAGACAACATCCCATAAAGAATGAACATAATTGCAAAGCTATTATTTCTCAAATTATAATGAGTTTAGTGTATATAAATGTGATGGCATTTCAAACCATTCAAAAGAGGATATGAAACCAATTCTGATAACTAAATTCTTTTGCTTGTAAATACACAGGATAGGGGTTAATTAACAATCGAAGAAATCAGACTTTCAAATTGAAAACCCCCCGGAATGATATTAAGGACGGCATTTGTTCCATCTTGAAACGCCAAACATACCGCGGTATGTGCAGCTGAAAATACAATGGCGTCTTATTTTGTTTACAAGCGACAGATTCCTTTATTTTTGTATCGCTGCATTTGTCATCAAAATAAAACCATGCGAGGGGTTTAGAGTGAGGCAATAGATTATACATTTAGCCTGACGGTAGTGAAGTAAGAGAAAGAACTCAAGAGAAGATGAAAAAACCGGCACTGAAAATGTGTGAGATGTCATGGGACATCGTCTGCTTGTGCAAATCATGTCCATCCAGTGATGTCACACAGCCCTTCAGGTGCTATGCCGGGGCTGTATTTTAGCGTTTTGTAATTTATAATAATCATTACTTCGAGTGTTTCCAAGCATTGAATTTTGATAACCTTGTCGAATCAAAGTTTCATCTTTGCAATAATGAAATTAAAGTTAGTTTTTAAAATCAATGAATATCTACTTTAACTGTCTCTGAAAGTATCATTTTACTTTATGTTTGTTCTGACCTGAGCTCTATTTTATAGAGCTAACAAACATCATAAATTCTGCTAGATTCATTACGACGTTGTATTGGGTAATATATAGGAAATAACATTATAGAATTGACCTTTCAAGCAGAGGAAAGAAATAGGAGACTATTTGCTTTGTGACATGGAGACGACCTAGATTTAAGGTCGGCAAACACGAGATAAAATGTGCGCGTCTATTTAATATCGAGGGAAATGTAATTACGACCCGTTTTCAAGCAGAAAATGGATTGATGCAATATTTCCCTTTTATAGTTACTCGTAAATTTAGCTATCAATTTCTCATAGTTAGGCCTAATAACTTAAGTATTTTACTTCTGCGCTACAACCGAACCCTAACAAGATAATTCAGAGGTTTTGAAGTAAGGGGCATATAATGCCACTTTTGGTATCAAAAGATGCTCAGGACAATATAAGTCAACATTTTAAAAAGATCTTAAAATCTATGAAAGTAATCGCAGAATTCACCTAGCAGAGGGGGGGGGGGGGGTCTTTTTCAGTTCAATATCATGACTTGGTGCGTTGGTTAATTCTGATTCCCGTGTGAACGGTCTGACAGGGTGGAATGGTAATTGTTCCCTTTTCTCTCTTCGATTAAAACCGCCGTGGGGAATATTGAATTTAATAACTGCATTATTTGATAAGTGGCTCACTTGCAACATGATGGACAAGACTCGACTTTCAGGAAATCAACCTACAGCAATTTCAATAGCCTTGCGAGCTTAAATGAAATGTGAGAACATGGACATAAGATATACGCAGACCGAAATAGACTTCTGTCTAGAAGTAAAACCAAAGGGCATTAAAGGTCAAGTTGGTTTCTTGAAAGTCTGTGTGACCTTGGTTTGGACAATCCGTATTTTCGTTATCTTTTGTTACTCACCTTTCCCGCAGATGTCGAGCAAAAATCCCTCACCGACGATTGCAGAATCTGAACTAAACTCCATCCAGGCAATCTGGTGTCGGGTGTTAATCTCTGTCGGTAAGGTGTTACCACTGAGTGTTATCAGCCGAGTTTCCTCCAATCCCGAATCATTCCCGAAACCGACCTTCAAATAGTCGTACCCAGGTTCGATGTCAAAAGCAGTGAAATTCAAAATGGCGCTGTTACCATGGGCAACCTCAAAGATCCACGTGATTTGAAGGTTGTTGGGATAGTTGTTAGGGTTGCCGGGTGAAGCTACAGCAACCGATTGGTTGATGGACAATCTGATGTGATGGATATCGTCAGTGGAGTTGTCCAGAGTTACTTGTTATACCAAAGATAAGGGGAAATCAAAGTAGGCAGTATGCATATTATCTCGGATTCGAAGATTTAATTTACATTAAATATGTAAAATATCCGCATTAGGTCCCGTCATATAAAGAAATGCATTTACTCGATTCGACTTACATTTATTATTTATTAAAAACATTTTGTTTAAATAATGCCCATGATACCCTACAACTCAACGTCATCACCCTTACCTGTGATAACGGTTGTTTTCGTAGATGACAATAATATGGTTTACTTATTTGTATAATCTTTAATTTTATTTCTTTTTCGAAAACAAATTAAGTTTAATCGGTCAAAT